AGTTAGAAAAATAAAACAGAACAAAAACATCACAACCTCGGGGTCAGTGAGTCTGTCAGGTGAGGGGGAGACTGAGGTAGCCTAGAGTCTCAAGCAGAGACCTAGCCCCCATCAAGGCACCGGTGCGGGGAGGGAGCAGAGCTGACTCCCGCCCTGGCTGGGCAGGGAGGGCTGCCCTGCATTCATCAGTGCATCAGGGCCCCGCTCCTAGAGATCTAGAGCTGCCCTAGCCCAGGACCCCCCCTGGCCATGTGTCCCATGTTCAGGGCAGGCAGGAGGCAGCCCTTCTCTCATCTGCTATGAAGGTGGGCTGCCAGCCGGGAGACTCTACTTCAACAAGGCATCAGAGATCAGTGCACGTGACAGGGGTGACACCGTGAATGAGCAGCGTGGGGCCCAGATCCCGGCTCAGAATCTCCAGCAGGGCCAGGTAGTGGGGGTATCGGGCAGGATCAGCAGGTGGCCGCGGCAAGTACAGGAAGGTGAGAGCGGTGGTGGGCCCCTCCTCACCATCCCCACCCTCAGGCCCACCAGGCCCTCCTCTGCCGCGCCCTTGCTGGGCCCGAACCAGGCAATTGGCGCTGCAGGCCAGGGCCTCTGCCTCGGAGTCTCCCCGCCTGCTGTTCACGAAGTCCCCTTCCTCCTCCTCCTCGGGCTGTCCGGACCCAGCCCCGTCACCCCACACCACCTCCCGCACCTCCGCCCGGATCCGCAGCTGGCTCAGCAGGGCCCGGAGACGCCCCTCAGCCGCCCCAGGGGCCTCTTGAGGCCCAAGGCACAAGAAGATCCGGAGCCGGGCACTGTGCCAAGCAGGTACCATGCCCAAGATGGTTGCCATCTGCAGCAGGAAGAGCCCACAGACGTCCACGTAGCCAGGGCCACCCCGAGGCCGCAGCAGGTTGAGGGGCCACACATCCACATGATGCTGCTGAGAGGGACTGCCGGACCCCCGGCTCAGACGCTCGGGGGGCAGGGCCCCACAGGCTCTTGCCAGAACCACATTCTTGTTCATCTTGAGGGCGTCTACCACTGTGGCCACGTAGTCCTGAGGACTTAGAGCTCGGGGGCTCCCAGGAGCCCGGGGTGGAGGGAACAGGGTACTCAGGGCTGGGGACCCGCCCTCCTGGGTACCATTAGCAGGCTCAGAAAAAGCCGGGTCTGTCAGGAAGTGATCCTGGGGTACAGCATCATCGTAGAAACCCAGGACCAACGTGTTGGGCTTCATGCCACCTGGGGGCAGATAGGGAGAGACAGGAAGAAAACAACAGGAATCAGACTCACCAGCTGAGTTTATACCACGCTATACACGTCCACTAATACATGCTGATGGCAACATCAGGTGTGACATTTGTTTGTACTGTGCTTGGGCTCTTAGGGCAACATTATGCAGGTTTGCATAATGAGTTTTAGTTTTCCCAAACACTTTCTCATGCATTTATTTGATTCATCTCCATGACTAATCCCCCCATTTAAATAGGCTAAGTTTTGCCCTAACTGGTTTGGCTCAGTGAATAGAGTGTCAGTCTGCGGACTCAAGGGTCCCAGGTTCCAGTCTGGTCAAGGGCATGTACCTTGGTTGCGGGCACATACCCAGTAGGGAGTGTGCAGGAGGCAGCTGATGGATGTTTCTCTCATCGATGTTTCTAACTCTCTATCCCTCTCCCTTCCTCTCTGTAAAAAAAATCAAAATATATTTTAAAAAAATAAAAATCATCATTCTCCCCTTTAAAAATAAATAAATAGGCTAAGTTTCACCTTAGGATTCTTTTAACTAATGAGCACTTTCAGTGGCAGTAAAATGTATTCACTCCAAGCTTCTAGCAACACACATTTTTCATGATGGGCAATGAGGGTCTGACTCCTCTGGGCGGACCAGACCCCTGATTAGTCAAGCTGATGGCCTCGATGTCCAGGGAAACAGCTTGCAGACTCCGCTGGGGGAGGACTCGGTGCTGCACAATCTGTTTCCCTAATGATGGCATGTCCAAAGCATGATCCCTGGGAAAGGGACAGCTACCATCTGCATGCTAACCAGGGGCCATATCCTGTTGAAAGCACTCTGTGTTTTATTTAACGCATTAATCCTTGAAGCAATGCTATTTCATAGGGACTATTTACTCACTCCCTTTTACAGATAAGGACACTGAGGCACAGGGCTGTGAAGTCACCTGTTGGCTGGCAGGTACAGGGGTGGCAGGTAAACACAATGCACTCAGCACCAGAGCCCACTCTCTGAGCCACTGGGCCGGTGTGTGCACCAACCACAGCGCCCCAAGTCCCTGCCAACGGCTCCTGGTTTTTTATTTTTGAACAACCAATGTGGAATCAGATAATACCCCCCCACCCCCTTTAAGAGGGCTGACTCTGCGACCTCTTCTAAGATCCTTTCTCTTGAAACAAATGGGTTTCCAGGAGAATTTGTTTAAAGGAAATCATTTTGCTTTTATTTGAATCATTTTCTGCAGGGTAAATTTCCTAAAAGTAGGTCTCTTGCTTGGCACAAAAGAGACCGGACCCTTAGATGCTCCAGGGTCTATCTCATACGCCTGATAGCATCCCAAAACACCTCAACCCCTGAACTCTAGCTGATCTCACAATTTAAACTAGTCACACCCCCACTTGAGCATGTTCCAGGGTTCTGACTTACACCCAACAGGGCAACGTCCAACACTTGATCTTTAGCCAGATTCTAAGTGGAGAAGGAAGCATGCACTCAGAGAGGGCTCAGATGCCAGCCCCAAGATTAAGAAAAGAGGAGGCAGCTGAGCACAGATTTGGAGGAAGCTGGGGTGCAAGGCCAGAGGCCTCAGCACTACAACAAGCACAAGCTGGGAATCTTCCACTCCACCCAAACGCATCAGCCCCACACGCCCTCCAAATCTTTGTGGAGGCCGTGTTACAGCCCTCCCTACTTTCCCACCCTTCAAGGCCCAGCTGAGATACTATCTCATTAAAAACCCTTTGCAGGCCACAAAAGTGCCCACTGGTCTTCCTTTCTTTGAACTCGGGTGGTTAGAAACCATCTGTCACAGATCTGATGGGGCAGCCCCAGCTTCAGATAATACTCCCTTTGTCCCCAGAAATACAAATACAGGCTCTTTGTCTTCAGAGCCTGTGCCCCAATTTTTGGATCAGAAAAAAATAATGTGTCACCCATCTCTAGTCCTTAAGCATCTATTCCAAGACCTGATCACATACTGTCTTATTATCTTTGAGTGCCACATCTTATCTGCATTAGATTGTGGGTTCATTTTGGGGTTTGCAGTCTGTAGTTTACTCTCTCGGGTGGTGGAGGGGAGGGAAGCAGAGACTGACAAGGGCCACAGAGGGGTCAGAGGGGATCCAGGGAGGAGCAGCTCACCAAGGCCTGAGATCCGCAGCAGATGCTGAGCCCCCTGGCGCACAGAGGGCGAGAGGGTGAGGTCCACAAAGGCTTTCACTTGGGCCCGGTCCACAAGGCTCAGCCACGCCCCATACTGTGGCTGCACAGGGTCCGAGGGCAGGCAGTCTATGAAGAAGGAAGGCAGCAAATGTGGGCCAAACTCAGGTTCTTTCTCCTAGAGTCCAAACCCCAAGTACACAGAAGAAAAAGTGTGGACAGGGCTGTGTGCTGGATGGAAGGGTCATCTGGGAAGAAGCATGAGGCCTCTGGGATGCAAAGAATAACAAGAATGTCTGAGACAAGAAGCAAAGGAGAAGTGGCGGGCAACTCACCAAGGTCTCCCAGCGTGACGTGGCCCAGCACATAGAGGCCTCCCTTCTTGAGCTGGTTGGCCAACCGAAGCAGAGGCAGGGCGCCCCGGGGGTTCCCCACCAGGAGCAGCAGCTGGGGTCTCCAGAACTTCACATGATCCTTCCGCACGTCCAGTCGAAGCAGGTATTTACGGACCTGGCGACAGGGTGAGGTGGTGGGGAGGAAGGGCTCAATTGGGCAACCCCCACTCGACGCCTACCAGACAGGAACCCCAACTCTAGCCGAGGGAAGAGGAAGCCTCTTTGTAGGGTGGGCTTTCCCAGGCTGCCTCCTCCCCTTCCCACCCTCCTCGGAGATCCCCCAACCTGGTGAAAAAGCAAGGCCTGGCTGACGTAGCCCCAGCTGCTGGGGCCGCCTCGAGCTGTGAGCAGGCCACAAAGCAGGCCCATGAGCAGCAGGGAGCCGCCTGCAGCCCCAGGGCTGATGAGAAACATCATGAGCAGGCAGGAGGCTACCCCCAGCAAGCAGGTGTGCCAGGAGAACAGGCTGAAGGTGGGGCTGCAGGGGGACAGAGAGAAGGAAGGACACTCAGGGCCAGCCCTGAACACCAGGCCACTCACTCCATTCCATTCCCAGATGTACCCCCCTTGGTCTGAGTCCTTCCTATTCGTCCTCTTTTTCAGGGGACACAGGCATTGTCTCACCGGAAGTTGGGGGCCGAGGCCCACTCCAGGCTCAGGCAGGACAGGTCCACTGCAGCATAGGCCACCAAGTAGAAGACAGTAACCACAGCAGCCAGTGTGTTCAGCTTCCCAACCAGGAGCACCAGCTGGACAAGGACCAAAAGGCTGGGCATTTGAGCTGCCCCCCACCAAGTGCCAATGCATCCTGCCTTGTCATTTATATCTCCCAGCCCACAACTTAGCTCCTCCTGATCCTGCAAGCATACCCGGAGAGGGCCTAGGGTGAGGGGAAGGGCAGATTAAAGAGAAAGGCTTACCTGGACGAGGCCCCATGAATAGAGCACAGCCCCCCAGGGGTTCCCCCCTTGGGATACCACCTTGGCTGGTGCCAAGATCATTCCTGTGCAAACAGAAATGCAGCAGCACATTAGCCTGGACCAAGCACAGACGGAGACAGACACAGAGGGCATGCTCAGAGCTGGGCAAGGAGGCAGGGGACAGCGCACCAAAGAGGTCGTCCTGGGCCAGGGCGTGGAGGATGCGGGAGGCACCAATAAGGGAGCTCATGGAGGCTGAGATTGATGTGGCATAGATGCCAATCAACACCAGTGGGGGCCACAGGCTGATGGCACGAAAGAACCCATAATCCTCCTGCAGCAGGATCCTTCAGGAAGGAAAAGAGGAAGACATGGGAAAGAATGTGCAGCCACCTGGGGTCCTTGTGAGAAAAGCACCCACCACATTGTGTGAGGTTAAGAGGTCACTGTTCTCAACTGATCCAGCTCCTATCTCAGGGGCCACAGTAACAGATCAAGTGCGCCAGGGGGACAGACTTGACATTCATGGGTTCTTGTTGGGCTGCTTTGGACAGACATTCCCAGCAGTATATGAACAAGGAGCCAACTGTTTATGGAATTTGACTAGAAAGTCATTCCCCACCCTCAAACCAAGTGCTTATAACAGTACCAGGCACATGGCAAATGCTGGCTGCGGGTTATCTATCACTTAGCCAACCCTCCCATTGGCAGCTGCAGCAGCTCTCTCTCTCTCTCTCCCTTGGGAGAAACAGTTCCCATTTTCCCTTTACCCCAACAACTTGGGTATCTGTCCCCCAGCCTGTGCTCTCTTTGGTGATCCCGGTGCATCAACCTTGTCCCAACAACCCCTTCACTCCCTAGAGGGCAGGGCTCACCCCCTCCCCAGGCACCTGTCACAGGTAAAGCTGGAGAGGAAGAAAAGCAGGATGTAGATGAAAAAGGTGTAGGCGACAGCTACAATGGTGCCCAGAGGAATCGCCCGGCTGGGGTCCTTCAGCTCCCCTGGAAGGAGGGGAGCAGAGGGAGAGAGATCAGCCTTCCCCAATCCCCTACATCCCTGAGTCCTCAGTACCCAGGTAGGGGCCCAGGGTGGCAGCCCCACACCCCCAAGAGGCAGTAGGCAGGGACTCTCACCAGACATGTTGGCGCCAGCCATGATGCCTGTGCAGCCATTAAAAAGGACGGCAAAAACGCTGGCAAAGGTCATCATGGCCCCTGTGGTGTAGTCCTTTGCGTAGCCAGCTGAGGAAGGATTGTTCCCAGGGAGGAGGTGTTACCATCCTTCTGTGATCCAGGCGTCTTGGCCCTGCCACACATTCCTCACCTTCCACAACCCCATTTCCCCCACCAAACTCACCAAGACCCTACCCCTGACCCATCATGGCCTGGCTCAGCTCCTCATCACCTCCTACTCCTGTATACACAGTTCCTCCCTCCAGGCCTCATCTATACTCTTTCTTGAGACACCTTCCTTCCCGCACCTACCTGAATTCCCCAGCCTACCTGGGGCCACCTCCAGCTCCACCTACTCCCACCTCCCCAGCCCATACTCCCATCTGACTCCTCTTGGCTCCTCTGTGATTCTTGTCTACTTGAATCACATGCAGTCTATTATGCTACTTAATTGTTTCCTGAATGTACATCTTATCTCTCCAACTAAACAAGTTCCTCTAAGGCAGTGACTGTCTTGCGGTCAACTCTTGCGGCCTGCTGGGCCAAACACAGCAGCCAACCCACACCAAACAGATCTTATTTAAACTGCTCTGCTCCGAGGCCCAGTCTCCTGCCCCCAATTCGCTACAACATCTGTCCTCATGCAGGGATGCCGAGGGCCCAGCTCCCACACATGCCCGCCCCAGCACTGCGAGCCCAGCTCACCGCCCAAGTTGGCCTTCAGGGTGCTGCTATTGAAGCCGGTGAAGTGGCCAACCTGGGGTGGCAGGGAGGAGCCATTGGGGCCAGGCCGCGGGGTCAACTGGATTAGGAATGTGAGGAAGGAGGCACGGGCATAGAGGCCAGCCCCCAGCGTGCAGACGCCACCCACCAGGCCCAGAAGCAGGGAGCCATAAAGCAAACTCCAGCCGTAGCCCTGGGGCAGGACCCGGAGCCCACTGGACCCAGTGGCATCTGCAGAGGAAGAAACAGAGTTAGAAGGCCAGGCCCCTTGGAGGGACCCTAACCATGACACAAAGCAGGAATAGACGCCCCTCCCCTTTGGCCCACCTATCCTCAGGCCATCTCCCCTATTTCCTCACTAAACTGAATCCCAGCATCCAAGCCCTGCCTGGTGTGTACCACTAATCTTGCAGTCGATTTTAGGGGTATCTGCTGGCCTCTGAGACTGGATGGTAAGCTCCCTGGGGGCCAGGACAGTCTCTTGGACATCTACACATGGCTGGGCACACGGTAAAACCTCAAGAAAGACCAGCTAATGGGGCACTTCGCCCCTTTCCCTTACAATTCCAGCATCCCAGACCCTGCAAACCCACAGAGCTTCCATGACAAGGGTGGGGAGAACAGACCCACTCCGAAAACATCGAGCATGGACTCCACCAGCCCCAACAGGGAGACAGCACAGCCACAGACATTAGCCAGGTAGAACATGAGGCCGATGCTGCCTCCAACCTCAGGTCCCAGGGTCCGGCTGATCATGACTAAGAGTGGAAACAGGGGGTGAGTGTTAAGGGAAAAGGAGCATGAGGAAGGGCCCTGGCACAGAGCATTCTGCAGCTGACCCTACAGGTCTGGTCTATCGACATGTGTTCCCAGGGCACAGCCACTCCCAAGCCTTGTGGCTTCACACAAGTTCCTGGTGCTCTTGAATTCCAGTTTCCTCCCCTGTAACATGAATGCAATCTAACCAACAAGACTGTTAGGAGGACCAAAATGACAGCTGGAAGATGCCTGGTGGACTAGAAAGCGGCACTAACATGTAAAGCCATGTTGGTCACCTTCCCCATTTCAGCCTGCCTCCAGAACATTCATTAGAGCTTGCTTCCTCTTGCCCTGCCCGCCAAGGGATGGGGGGAGTGACCCCTGCCTCCGCCCTACAAGATGGAAGAGCCCAGACCCCAAGTCCATCAACACTGGAGGATACAGTAGGCTCCACCGCCCCGAACAGCTCCGTTGGTGGCAATGGCACAGACAGAGAGGACAGTGAGCGCCAGGATGAAGTAGGCAACCAGGAGCATGGCCAAAGCCTGCAGCAGCCCAGCATGGCCCACCACGAACCCTGGAACATGAGGGGCAAAGCAGGTCAGAGGGTGGCTCACTCCCACCCCCACCGCCCCTCACCCACTGGTCTTCAGTAACCTCCAGCCCTTCCACAACCTCATCCCAGGCCCCCTGCTCCCCACTTCACCCCCTATAAGCCCCTCCCCACATCCACTCACCAATCCTCAGGAAGACAACTATACTGAACATGGACAGGACCGTGGGCACCACCACACCCAGGAAGGTGGAGAGCTTCCGGGCAGATTCACCTCCAGGTCCTCCGGCCCCATTGGCAGGGAAGGCAACCCCCTCCTCCCCCAGGAGCCGGTAGGCCAGCAAAGGAGAGTTTTCACTGGCCATGGCTGCGAGCAGGTGGAGGAGGCCAGCAACGGATTATGAGACCTGCACAAGAGAGTGTGCTGAATGGAGAGCAGCTCCACTGAGCGCCCCTGCCCCCCAAAATACACCTCTAAGCAAACACCCAGATGCCTTACACCCAAAGGGAGAGCTGCAAGGAAACATACATACATAAAGAATTATTGGAGCCCTGGCCAACAATGGCAGGGTTTGAGTATCAAGGCCCCTTTCAGCTTTTGAGGGCCACACCTTCCCCCATATCCCTGAGGCTAGAGATGACAGGGGTTCTGGAAAGGGGCAGAGATTCTCTTCCTTCTTAGCTAGCCGTAGAAGAGGAAGCAAATCCCCCAAAAGGGAAGTGAGTTACGGGCAGGAAGCCCTCCTCACCCCCTCCTCCGCAGTTCTGAGACGACCCCCTCCCCTGCAGTCGCCTAACCTAATGTCAATAAGAAACTTCCAAACCATCCCACGCCCCACCCTCCGTCAACCCTCTTCCTCGACCCATCTTAAACCAGCTCCTCTTCTCCTTGGCCCCATCAGATGCTTCTCACCACAGGAGGCACCATCCAAATACGCTCATCGACCACCGAAACAGAAACACGGGCAGGCAACGCAAGGTGGATCCTCCTTCCCCCACCGGTTCCTGCCCACTTTCTCCCGGGGCGGGTAGGAGGGGGCCGCGATCCACCTTCTCCCCGGCCATGAGCACCCCCCTCCCCCATCCCGGGTGCGGCAGAGCGCTCACTCACCCACCCAGAGGATGCAGCTGCTCGGGGGCGATCCCCGAGAGCCAAAGACAGCTGCGGCTACCGGGATGCCAGGCCGGGAGCCTGCCCCCCCCACCGCACACGCGCCTATTGGTCCCCGGGTCCGGCCCCGCCCCGTGGGCGCGTCCTGAGAAGCCCCGCCCCTTCTGGGCTCCATTGGCCAGCGCGTCTCCTTCTCCACGTGCACCCGGGGTGTTACCTGGGTTGCCCCTCCGGCGGGCGGCTCCTGCAGGGTGTAGGCATGGGCTCCTACAGCACCCACCACCCTGATGCAAACCAGCGCCCGTCGCCCGACCAGGATCCCACTCCGAGCTCGGAGGCGTCCGGAAGAGCCGCCGCTGGAAGGGGCGTGTGGTTACGGCTGCCGACAACCTGCAGGTGGGCGGGGTCGCGACACCTGGCCTAGGTTTGTCGCCAGGAACGCGGGGCCTCGTCGGTCAATGCCTTCGGGGGTCCTCCTCCAGCCTCTCGGATCTCCGGAATGTCGGTCGGGTCCTGGCCTCATTACTCACCCCCGTGCCCTTCCCCAGCGCCCGATCCAGCCCACCGGCTGCGCATTTTACTTCTGCCACCGGAGGGCGCCATTGCAGCGCAGGCCATAATCGGTCCTCTCCGTCCGCCGCCTGCTTTTGTGCCTACTTTCATGGGGATATGGTGCTCTCCCCCCCTAGCAGAAATTGGAGGATTTGTGAACCTCCGGGCTTTAGGACCCCCTTTTCATTCTCTTCAGGTACCAGCAACATCACCACCTGGCAACGTTTTTCATCTGTAAACTGGGGATTAACTAAAATCTCCCACATAAGGTTACTATGAGAGTTAAACGAAGTAATAGGCACTCGAGAACAATGCCGACATGTTCAATGTTATCATTTGCATGCAGTACCTCATTAAATATGCATCACCACTCTGTGAGGTAAGTAGGTACTGCTATTATTTCCATTTTTCATTAGGAAATTGAAGCTTCGAGAGCTTCAGTAATAAATTCCTAACTTTCCTTTATGGTTACACTGTCATTTGAGCCTAAGGAAATGGCCACTTTTCCTCACACTCGTCTTTGGCTGTATATTATCTGCAACATTTACTTAGGAGAGGAAGGGGCTCAAACCAGCCAAAATGTGGCCAGGGAGAGGTCTCATGAGCAGTTAAACTGTGGCATTTCAGGGGTCATCTCTGCTGCCCACAACACAGAGTGTGATTCCTGGATCTCACCACCACCACCCCTGCCACAATGTTTGCTGATTTCAATATCCACATTGATGAGACTTCCAACACCCTGGCCTGGCAGTTACTTAAATTCCACTTCCGCTCTAGCTGGTTTGGCTCAGTGGATACAGCGTCAGCCTGCGGACTGAAGGGTCCCAGGTTCGATTCTGGCCAAGGGCACGTGACCTGGTTGTGGGCTCAATCCCCAGTGGGGGGCATGCAGGAGGCAGCAAATCAATGATTCTCTCTCATCATTGATGTTTCTATCTCTCTCTCCCTCTCCCTCCTTCTCTGAAATCAATAAAAATATATTTTAAAAAATAAATTCCATTTCCTCATAGATCTTACCTTCTCCCTACCCAATGGTCAGTCATATCTAGACTTTGTCCTTACCAATAACTGCAGTCTTTCTGTCTTCCTTCCTTCCTTCATTCCTTCCCTTCTTCCTATATTTCTTTTCTTTTTTAAAAATATATTTTATTGATTTTTTACAGAGAGGAAGGGAGAGGGATAGAGAATTAGAAACATCAATGAAAGAGAAACATTGATCAGCTGCCTCCTGCACATCCCCAGAATTGAACCTGGGACCCTTCAGTCTGCAGGCCGATGCTCTATCCACTGAGCCAAACTGGTTAGGGCTCTATATTTCTTTCTTTCCAAATTAGAACATGACAATCAGCACACAGTCTCTGTCCACCCCTCAATAAGTTCATCATCTGTGGTTTCTGGGAACTCTAGAGGCCTAAGGAGTTGTCCCCAAATGACCCAGACATTTCAGAATGTGGACTCAACAGCCCACCGAAAGTCCCCTCCTGCCTACTGCTTTAATTTCCGCACCTCCCAGTTTGGCAAGAATTACAGTGCCAACCCCCCACGCAAGGTCCTCATGGCCCAAGTGCTCATGGACTCCAATCTTGATTAGCACTGAACCCAGAAATAATCCATGGCCTGAA